CTTCTGCATTGCCCAATCCACTACAACCAGCGACATCATTCATTAGTTGATAGTGGGAAGCCTTGTCTTGCTCCTATCTTCACAGCAAAGGCTTCTTTGAGCATGTCTTGTCAATTACTCATATAACTGCTGGCGCCAAATCGTAGAAATGCTTGAAAAACCCAGCAGGCTTTCCTCTGTGACGTATTCATACACACATATAGTCGAATCTCACTACAACTTGTACACAGACAAAAAATCAGGAAAACGAATAATATAGTGAAAATATTGCAGAAGTTTCCTTTCCAAAGCTCAGTGACTCATATTACGATAAATTTATCTTCTGAGCGCTTCATTTGCTACTTTATGTGGGAATTAGTTCGACATTATTCTTGTTCTTAACTGTGCATAAACTGAAAATTCCTTGTTGTGGATTACTGCTGAAGAGGCATCCCTCTTTCAAATATTCCACTGCACACTGACTACTGTGTAGTGAGTCACACCTGCAGTCAGTAATGATGCGAACATTATAGTTGGCATATGAACTAAGGTTTTACACGAGAGCAATCTTACTATTTTACAAATAACCCACTTTATTGGCCATTTGTAACTCAATAATCTTTAAATTTTTCAAGTCTTTAAATAAATTGTAAGTGGTGCTGATACCTGAGATTAGACTATATACACCTCTGTAAAGATCTGTCTGTCTTCGACATAGAACTTTGCACATATGTGCGCCAGTTCAAGTCGCCACACTCCATGTAGCACACAAAGCAAGAGAAGAAAGTAGAAGAAATGCATAATAGACAGTAAACAGAGGTGTGAGACAAAGGAATAGTAGTAACGAAGAACAAAACAGTTTCATTGGAAATCATGAGTCACAAGGAGTAGATGCATCTGCACCAACCACTGAGAACGATTTTGAGTCATGTCACCAATTGTTTCCAGACATTGGTTTTTACCGTCCCGAGGACCCCAACCAGTCAGGAAGTCTACACCTTCCTACGTGGCTGAGACTAACTGGCGTAGATTTCATTGACTGGTGCCATGTTTTGGTTTGACCGCCCCTAGCTCTTTTCCAGCCTGACTCTATATCAGCTAACATTGCCAGTCTAGGAAGGCGGTGGCTAGGCATACGTAACACGTCCTTAGCATCTCAGTCGATGTAACTTCACAACCTCGTCGACTGATTTCCCCTGTTTACCTAAAACTCGACGCCTAACCTCAACATTGCTCACCTTATTATACCACTGTAAAGATACAGCTGTTGAATGAGAATTATAAAGATGATCAGCACTTCATAGTGCTGAAGTAGTTGACAGATTACTTCACAATCGATATCTTTTTCACAGCTAATGAGGTTGAGGTGAAGAGTTGAATACCATTCAATGCTCTACACAAACATGATGCATAACGTTGGAAATTGGTTAATGAATCATTTGTTTTTCCTAAATCCAGCCTGTTTGGGTCGAAGATTTGCACTCACAACACCTCCAAGATGATGTGGATTAATATTCTACTCAAGGGTAGATAGCAGCAGGATTCTGTGCCAGTTGTTGCATCCGTGTAGGTCACCATTCTTTGGCATTTTCACGTGGTAGCATTTTTTTCTAAACCTTCTGCAATACTGTGGCGTAAGCGTGTCCAAGAAACAGTAAACAGACGGCCCTTTGCTCATTTCTAAACTTATTGTTGTCATTACTCTTATAAATTTATAATTTTTTTTACACATATATCGCTGCCATAAATACCACTTAAGGGCGTCGGTGGCACAGTGGTTAGGACTCTCAACGACCATGCACATGGTCCGAGGTTCGATCCCCTGCCGACGCAGACCTGATATCTATGGTTGGCCTGAAAAATTTGGGCTACCGATATCCATGCTGAAAATTCCATACTTGTACCAAAATACAATGTGGAATCAAGCTGTAATCAAAAAAAAAGTAAAATGAAAATCAGATGCAATACTGTACTACAAAGCTGAGAATTCTATCATATATTGAAAATATTGTTTCGAATAAAGTCACCATTATTATTATTGTCTCCTTTAGTTCCTAGAGGAAAATAGGGTTACAACCGCACGTCTCCATTGAGTTCGGTTCTCCGCCAACATTTTCACCTGGCTCTACGTCTGCCTACATCCTTCCATCTTCTCTTCACATGACCTTCTCCATGTCACCCCCGCACTGATTACCGACTTGCCGCTTCCCTTTCGGGTTCTACTCGAGGGCTTATCTAGTGATTTTACTTGAAGGTTTCCTCAGTATGGCCAATCCACCTCCATTTCTTCCTGCATATTTGTTGCACAATTGGTTCCTGCTGAGTTGGTTCGCTCCCAGAGATCACTCACTATTGCTAATCTTTTCCGGTCATCTAATCTTGAGCAAAATAAGCTGTTGATGAAGGTCTGTAGTTTGTTCGAAGTGCACTTTGTGATACACCAAGTCTCGGATCCCCATAGTGAGGAGCACTGACTTCACATTGGAGTTGAAAGTCCGAATTTTGTTTTTCATGCTGAGTGCTGTTGACCTCCACACAAACTTGTCTTGCTTTCCCGATCCTCGCTTCGATATCCTGATCATTTCCGCCTGTAGTTGAAACGATATTTCCCAGGTAGGTAACGGAGGACGCTTCTTTCAGATTATTCTAATTTATGCTGATAGTTGTCTGTTGTTGTTGCTGTTGGTCAGGAGTCTTCATCACCTACCTCTGTTTTCTCTATGTTCACCTCAAGTCCTATTTTTGATGCTTCTATCGCCAGCTTGTTGCTTTTCACTTGCATGTCTTCCAGCTTGTGGGAAATCAGGCATATATCATCGGTGAAATCCAGATCCTCCACTTATAATGGACAGTAGCTCGAAAGAGCTATGAAGCATTTAGTTGACTAGCAATACTGCACCATGCCATAATTACCAAGACGAAATTACTGTTATATATGCGACTACACACACCAAGCGTGTTATTTGAATAGGATGGGACAATCAAAAGATTAGATATTACGTCCTCTGAAAGCATATATACGATATTGTAACATTAATGCCTAGGACAGCAGAGTGCCTGACTCACTCGTTTTAACGCAGAACCTTGTACAGAAATGCAGTACTTTGAATTGCCATACTCCACATACCTCACAAAAGAGGTCCATAAGAACGGTAATAGGCAGAAATGTGAGGGAGAAAGAATACTGACATGGAAAAACATGACGGTTTAGTGGATATGAAAGATGACAAAGAGTGAATGCATCTGCTCGATTAACAACGATTTCGAGTCATATCACCAACTGTCTCCAGCCAATGGTTCTTAGAATCTCGAGGACATTGCCTAGAAAGCCTACAACTCACCACGTGACTGGTTCAAACTAACTGTTAAAAGATTTCATGCTTTGATTTGACCACCGCTAGCTCTTCTCCAAACTGACTCTAAGTTGGCTAACATTGCCCGTCGAGGAAGGCGATGGCTAGGACATGTGGTACGCACGCCTAGCCAACTCAGTTGATGTAGCTTCACGATCTCATCGATGAGCTTTCCTTCCTTACCTAATACTCGACGCCTAAACTCAATATTTCTCACCCTATTATTACTACCCAACACTAAAGATGTGCGTCGGTGGCATAGCGATCAGGACGCTCGCCGACCATTCACATGGTCAGGGGTTCGATCCCTGGCCGACGTACTCCCTTACCTCGGTGAGCCAGAAACAATGCTAGTAAAAAGGAAAGGTTGGGCATGAGGCTAGCAACCCCATTCTGTAAAATAAACACTACTACAGAAACTGCAAGCCTCTAGCTTGAAGCCCTATGTTCCACTGGGGAACGTGAAGGAAAAAACACTAAAGATAGAACGCAGACACCCATTATCAAAGACAGATAGCTAGGGGTTTCATACCTCCCCCTGCCCATGGCTGTGTCTCATATCCACAGATGACGACGGAACGAACTAGTGTGAAGTACACACGTCCTACCACAATAGCCACCCGGCTATCACATCCACGTCAAAGGTGTTGCAGGTTGGAGAATGTCACATGAGCCTTATGTATCCGTTCTGAGATTTTTCGGCAATCACCCCATTGATGCTGAGGAAAATTCTTGAATAAGTGAAGTAGTCCACATGTTCTATCACTTCACTCCCCATTTTTAAGTTAGAAATTCATATAGTTCAATCCTGTAGCGTCATCTTACATTTGACAGGAGTGGGCCGCATACCAAACATTCGTCGATTGCTGCTCAATGTGGTTTTATCAGAATCTGCACCGAAGAGACCTATATCATTCGCATATTCTAAATCAACAAGACTGTACTCTGGTAACAGGTCAATCCCTGAGTCACTGAAGTCAGTATGGGATAATTTCACTAGTGCATCTATAAGCAAAATAAACAGAAATGGGAACAGTGGACATCCCTGATGGACATTACTGTTCGTCATCACTTTAGATGACAACTCTCCATTAGCTCTTGCATAGCGGCGTGAGCTCGAGCAGGGAGAGTGCCTTGATAAGTGTGATGTACTTTCTCGCTACTCCTTTGACGACCAAACATTGTTATAGTATCTCTCAGTCGACGGAGTGGAATTCCGCCTTCAGGTCAAGATATATGACAGTTGTTGGGCGCCGGTAAATATAGATATGTTCCAGAATCTGTCAAAGAGCAAAGATATGATCAATACACTCTCTTCCTGGTTTGAAGTATGTATGTGTGGTTTTCTCTCGTTTGCTTCTTCCGAGCAACACTTAATCTACGTAAGATTATTGAGCCTACAACTTTGCGACAGCAGGACATCACTTTCTGATGTTATGAATCAAAGTGACGCGTAACAGAACGAATACCTAAAGAAACAGTTGTATTGTTCCTGACCGAAACATTTCAAGTGGAACGTAGATTAAGATTCAGTGAAAGACGACTTAGTCACAATTTATTGATTTATTTTGGACAGTAAAAGAAATATACAAATCAAGTCAGTCATTCATTGGTATTTCATTCAAAAGATTTATAAAACAAAAAAATAATCAAATACTATCATCTATCCTACACAACAGACTTCAGTGGTCCTTTCCAAGGTTCTTGAAGTTCAACTGTACAGTTCAAATCACGAAGAGCTGCTTTCGCTTGATCACAACAAGAAGGATTTTTCAGAGCTAAATTCAATAGCTTTTCTAGACCAGTATCACTTGTACCACCATCCACTGTTAAAAAGTTAGCTCGTAGTCCCGGTGATCTTGAGACAATATTACGTATAGCTCTGCATACAGTTCGAACAGTTGTAGCGTTTGACATATACAAATCAAGAGTCTATAAAACAAAGTTAAATGAAGTAGATTTGATTATTGTGACACAATAAAAAACAGCAGTAGTGGTAGTTGTTGTATCACAATTAAAATACAGACTGAAAAGGAGATACGAGTGATAGAGCTGTTAGGCAATGTGATTTATTATTACTTATTTTATTCATTACGTTCCGAGTGGAATATAGGGCTTTAAGTTTCAGCTTTGAAGTTTCAATGGCAGTGGTGTTTTTTTACCGAGAGTGGGGTTCCTCGTCTCACATTCAACATTCCCTCTATATCAGCTTCTCTATCGGCTAGGTAAGGTCAGGGAATCGAACCCTGGACCATTTGCACGGCTGGCGAGCATTCTACCGGTGAACTACCGACGCACAATATAATTTAGTTTACAGAAAAGTTATAACCAGCCATGTGATGAATAACAAGTGCGAAAAGTAAGAATTCCGCGTATTTTTAAACTGTACATAACTCCTAAACCTCGAATAAGTAATGCCTTCAGGAGACAACCTTGCACAGATGTGCAGCAGTGCGAGGTGCCACACTCCATGTAGCACACAAAAAAAAGACAAAGGATATATATAGAAAGAAAACAGAATCAAAAGAACGACAATAAGTAGAAATGTGAAGGAGCATGAATAGAAACATGCAACCACAATAGGGTTTAATCGATATGATAGATCTCAAGGAATGAATTTATCTTCGCTATTCAGAACATTTTTCAGCCATATCACCAACTGTCTCCACCAATTTTTTCTTGAAATCCAGAGGACCTCATCCAGCCAGTCTACACTCAAACAAACTGTCAAAGATTTCATGGGCTGATTCCAAGTTGTTGTTTGACCACCATGAGCTCCTTTCCAATGCGATCTTATTCCAGTTAACATTCTTCGTGGAGGAAAGTGTAGCTTAGGCGTGCGTAGCACATGTCCTGGCCATTTCAATCGATGTAGCTTTACAACGTTAACGATTGACTTTCTCTCGTTACCCAACACTCGACGGATAACATCAATACTATTCAACCTATGGTAGTACCATCTAATACGACAGACAGATGTTGGGATAGACAGGGTCATAATGCCGCGCCAGTTCTTGCGTTGACTTAATTCTCCTTTCTTTGGCAGTTTGAATAAGTAGCCTTTCTTCCAATTCGCTGGTGCTTTGTCCTCTTTCTACACCTTCTCCAGCAGTGGTACCATCAAGTCCGCTGATGTCTCTGGGTGCATTATCAATGCTTCTGTAGGGATCCCATCTGGTCCTGCTGCTTTTCCAGCTTTTAGCATTTTTATGGCCATCAGGATTTCCACTTTCGTCGGAGAGTTGGTATCTACTGGTCGTTTTGCTTCCGCTGTTGGTATCATCGGGCGCGTTGTAGTTGGCGGTCGATTTAGAAGTCCTTTGAAATGTTCAGTCCAGTGTTTCCTTTGCTCCACCTCTTTGGTGACTGACTTTCCATTGTCATCCTTCACTGGCTTAATCTGTGTTGAACTTTTCTCGTTTAGGAACCTAGTTGTTTGGTTGGGTGTTGCGAGGTCTTCTTTGCCTGCAGCTTGTTCTGTTTAACTTGTCATAGCTTCATGATATTTTCTTTTGTCTTCCCTGGCACTCTGCTTTACTCTTTTGTTCAGTGTATTGTAGCTTGCATTCAACTCCTGCTTTTGTTACTCGTCAATGCACTGGATAATCTTTTGCATTGCCATCCTTCTCTCTTCTATTAGTCTTCATGTGTCCGTATTGAACCACTGTTTGTCCTGTCTCTTCTTTCTGCCTAGAATTTCCATGCAAGTTTGAATCCACACCGCTTTCAGGCTGTTCCAGTGCTTTTGAACGCTGGTCACTTCGCTAGTGTTGATATTGTATCTCTGCCCAATTCCTTATGATTCCAGTGAAGATATCCTTTTTATCCTGACCCTTCAGTTTTTGAGTATTGAGTATCTGCAAAATCCTGTTTCTTTGAAAGACTGTTTAAAATTTGATTTGGAGTGTTCATTGCATGAGATAGTGGTCTGAGCCGACATCTGCTCCTCTTCTTACCTTTGTGTCCAGTAAGCTGCGTCTCCACCTCCCTGAGCAGTATATTGAAATGAAGTCTATTTGATTTTTGGTTCACCCATCTAGTGACACTCATGCAGCCTTGTGAATATCCTTTTGCTTGTATACGCCGCCACCAATCACTAGTTCATTGAAGGCACAGAAGTCAGAGAAGAGTTCTCCGTTTTTATTCATATCTCCAAGTGCCTCTCTATCCATAATTTCTCTTATATATGATAATACATATATTATGCGTAGAATTCGCCTTTTTAATGGGATCGGTCACTTGTCTGTTGAAATATTCTGGTGCTTAAAATTTAACTTCTCCATATTATGAAGGCCAACACACATAAAATAATAAACACATTATACATACATATATCTCTTCAAACTATTTTGTTTTAGTTCAAATACTAAAACTAACAATAATAAAAATAAAAACAATAACAACAAGAAATGCCAAAAACATTTACCCAAATATTTATAGTCACATATATATATACCTTAAAATTCTAATAAACGAAGAAATGCATACCTTAATAAGATATGTGGATACACCAGCTTCAACAAGCAATTTGGCAAGATCAGGTTGTCGTAGAGTGATGGCGGCAACTACACCAGCTGCATACCTTACAACAATAGGATTTTTAATATGATCTTCATATACATCTATAATAAGTTGTGGACCAGTCACATTATGAAGTGACCAATTAGCAATAGATCGTTTACATGCATCTGAACCACATAATGACTCCAGCAGCATTAATCCAGAACGAATGATAGACTGAAAATATATATGTACATGAAGAAGTTAAATGGTGATATGAAAGTAGATGTTTCACAAACGATGATGAAATCATCCTTCATATATACAGAGCATATAAACAATGTTAACTTGATTCGTTCAGGAGTATTTTCTAACATGGAACCATGTTAACAAATGGAAGGTTAGAAAACAAAATTCTCTGTCAACTTTAGTTTTTAATATAAAATATTCAGGTGTTGGTTGATTGGTTACAGGACTTCATCATGAGCTGACATTAGGTAGAGAACCATTGGAAAACCTGGGAGTACTGAACAGCTGTTTCGTCCTAGTTCGGGACTCTTCATCAGTACGCATCCTACCGGGGTTCATGTAATAAGTATGACTGAAAATCAAAACAAAACGCTTTCCACACCGATACGAGAACATATTTCAGCATGATTTACCAGGGAGAAGGGAAGGAGATGCGAAACTCTATTCTAAAAAACACTTGATCGATTTCTGTCACTCTACCAACACTGACCATGACTGTTTTTAAGATCATCTATCAAATTCATGCTAAATTGCCACGTTTTCTTTGTTGCGAACTTCTAAGGAGAGTAGAGACGCTGGCCATTTATGAATTTAAGCTAAACCTAATTGGGAAGAAGAGGTATGAATAATCCTGGTTTCTACCTTGGCTGTAGACGGATAGACATTTATGTATTTATTTTCATTATTATTTATTTTTATTTCTTTTGTTTATTCACTCAATCTACGGTACTTTTCCCTCATTACTACGATTATTATTCTCATTTTGATTTGTTTACACTTGTCCCACTTATCATTCTAAATCAAAAAGTGTTTGCAATGTTGAATTCTATTCTATTAAATTTCAGATGATGTTATGTAAAGTTGAACACTTTGTTTTATTCCTTAGCGTTCCGAGTGGGACATAGGGCACTGATGTTTTTACGGGGTGGGGTTGCTAGCCTCACGCCTAACCTTCCTTTTTTGTTGGAAGTCTGGCAGGCTAAAGGAGGTAAAGATGTGCACCGGTCGGGACTCGAACCCTGGACCATGTGCATGGTCGGCCAGAGCTCTACCACTTAACCACCTACTAACCCTATAACTATGCACCCCATTCCAACATCTGTACATCTTATGAACTATTCTATATATGAAATTATTTGTTTTACCACTTGACATTTAACTATGATCATAATTACAAACATTTTAATTGTATTTCAGACTATTATTGGTCTTGGAATTAACACCTTTGTTTAAATTATTTCACAGAATATAATTTCTTAAAAAGCCATACATATACGATTGTACAGCTTGATAATAGATACGTTGGAAACAGCCGTTTCTCTCAATATTGTGTTTTTAATGTTACAATGGGAATCACTAAATTATTTCATTCATTGACCGGAAAGAAAATTCGATACCTGTACCAAAAAAATACGGTGTGGAATCAAGCTATAATCAAAAAAATTCTAAGATCATATGGTGTGTATTTGGCCAAAGTGAAGATAGTCTTTCAACTGGTGATTTCATACGGGATCAGTGACTGACCAGAGTGGTTTGAACATGGGTTATCAGCGTTAAATTGGCCTCCTGATTAAGACTTGAGTTGGTGAAAACCTCCATCGATATATTGCATATAGTTTCGCTAATTCAGTTTGTTTAAATCCAGTAAAATATGACCTCTGATAGTACTGTTTACTCTGGTGTGTACTTAAAATATTTACAACCTGCTGATTCGCAAGTTTCTACTAAACATGTGAAAGAGCATTATCCTCGATGGTAGCTTATTCCAGCACGTGAGATGACTGTTCCTGAGTGGTGTCCTTGTTTCACAAAATGTACTCCTGAACATTTTACAAATGGCATTCAGCAAAATATCGTGTATTTTTCGAAGGAAAAATGGGAAGAAGAAGAGACATCATAATGGACTGAGTTGCACTTCAGGTCAGATATAACTGTGTCACACAATCTACTGTCAGTGTCAGTCAATTAATCTTTTATTTGAAGATCTTGGACGAAGGGAAAATATATTATGCAATCAACTCCGCTGAAAATTCTACACATTATATAAACATTGTTCAGAATAAAGTTATTGCCATTATTATTATCACAGAGTCCTTAGTACCTTTCACATTATTTGCTAGTACTGGTACTAGATGGAAATAATAGAGGAGATGGTCTTCTTATAAAGTGACACGAAAACATGACGAATAGCTGTATTCGGTTAGTGTATGTTGTGATACATTACAGCTTGCTGTGTAGGATCTGAGGAAATGGGACTATGTGGCTATCACACATGGTTCAGAATATAAATCTGCAATGCTTCTCTACTACATTCGAAAGTAATATGAGCTGAGGAACCCTCCTTTGACCTCGCTGATGAGCGGTAAAACAACAAAAACTAGTATACTGCGACAGGTTAGAAACATTTAAGGACAACATTATTATCCAAGATGAGAGATATAACGAAAATTGAGAAAGACGGATAGTAACTTGAAGTACTTACTGCTGACTTTATGTTGTAATAGACCGTCTTCATGATTATATCAATACCATTGAGAGAGGAGAATTTTGTGCATATTTCTTCACGTGTAATTAAGGTCGATAGGGTTTGAAATAGATCAGCGATACCATGAACATTTGAAGAAGCCACAATATCTGAAAGGAAAGAAAAAATTCAAAAGTTCAGAAATTATAAAGAGGCATTTTACCTACTTAAATACAGTGCAGGAAAACAAATAGAAATGAAATTGGTTAGCAGGGCCTTACTTTCTCATTGGAATTATTGGGCTTCAAGCATGAGCTGTGAAGTCCCATTAGAAGTGGTGTTATTCTTTCTTTTTCTCACAATTCTAGCCTTACACACACACAACCTTCCCTCTTCACTGAGCTTGATTCCAGGTAAGCGAGGTTTAAGGATGCGCAATTTATACACTTCGACTATGCATGTCTGAACATGGCTATCATTGACACAGAAAACTCCGCTAATCAGGACGTCTTAAACATACAGTAGCATGAGTTATGACACTAGTGACAGGTTGGAAATAGGAATATGATGAATAACACAACATTCAATGTAACTACAACGTAGGAGTCATACATACTGATGAGTTCATGTGATACAGTTGTGGTATTAGTTTCTCACCGACAACAGAAATCCCTAGTGACTTTCTTATAGCCTCCTGATATCTTTCACTTCATAAAACCCAAAGTATAAAATTAATAAAAGCTTATTCCATGCATCTTTTCAGGCTATCACCTTCTCTCAGTTATTCCTTTGTTACATTTTGTTTTAACTTACAATTATTTTAGAATAGTGCCAGATTTCTATTTAAATAAAAATCACACACGAAGGGAATAATAGTAATAATAACAGTAGTGTTAGTCGCATTATTAAAATGTGTCGTCTTCAGTATGAAAAAATGAAAAGAAAACATCGCCGTTTAAAACCTTCTATCTCATTAATTATCTTTACAAACTCTGTACCACTCTCAGTAACCTGAAAGTCCTTAGTTCAAAACCCGGTGGATTCGTGCTGCTGATGAACTCTAAACCAGGACGAAACAGATGTCCAGTAGTCTCTGCTTTCTTTCAATGATTGTCTAACTGATATCAATTATCAATCCATGGTTAAACGTGAAGTAATGAAGTAGTTACATGAGGTAGAACATTTTACGACAATATATTTCCATATTGACAAATATTTCACATCATATTCTTCGATTAATATAATGAAATAGGCTTTAAACATCACACAAAATTGCTTACTTGAGATTAATTTGACAAATGTTTCCAAACAGGAATCACTTTTAGCAATAGTGCATGCATTCTCACTTCCAACACCGAATTCAACGTCCATATCATCATCGATTGTTAGAGATCGTAAGAATGCACATGCTTCTTTCAATGCAGGATAGAAAACATTAAACGGTATGCTATTATTATTAAGCATTTTGTCGAACTTTGTCAGCAAATTTATAGTGCGCTTTACAACTTCAGTTTGAGAGATGAGTGCTCGATTCTTTTCATTTTTTGTACAGCTAGCATGTAATACGGAGTAAATTGCAGCTATTAATGCAAAAATTGGTTCTGATGATGCGTTTTCATCTAATTCATCGATTAATTTGACAAGCCATTTGGTCAACTCTGCAACAATACACAAAAAAAGAGAAGTGAATGTTTTGTATGAGAATATAAGGATAACATGAAATCTCTGTAGGTTTAATAGCTGCGTCTGACTAGAAAATCACTTGCATTGAACTTTTCATTTGTTAAAATCTTTCTTTTATTCCTTTACGTTCCAAGTGAGAGATAGGGCTTTAAGCTAGAGCTTTGAAATTTCGGTAGCAGTGGTTTCATTTTTACGTGGCGAGGTTGCTATCCTCACATGTCCAACTTTCCTCCTTTACCTACCTTACTAGGGACTAAGCGAGGTATGCGAGTGTGTTAGCCGGTGATCGAGCCCCAGATCACATGCGTAGTTGGCGAGCATTTTACCGCTGAACCAGTAACGCATAAACTAATATGGAGAGGATTTACGGATAACAGTTGTTGCATGAAATACGACTATAATGAAGTGTGTCATTCTGAAACAAAAAAACTGGAAAATTAGTGAGTCCTATCAATACAAAGTATCTAATCGACGTATAAGTTGCGAAACATTGAAAATAATGCTCGTAGATAACCCTAATTGGTGGGTCCCATGACTTCGTATAATTGAGTATTTTGATACCATTATTAGAAGACGGAGATTATCTGAAAAATGTCATGCATTTGCGCTATACATTTCGAACAATCTGATCACACATTTACTTGTCAAGTCTCTCTCTCTCTCTCTCTCTCTCTCTCTCTCTATATATATATATATATATATATATATATATATATATATAAGAAAAGAACAAACTGTTTTTGAATACACAAGGGGGCTTAAGTTTATGAATAGCTATAGCCTCAGCGTATTTCAATAAACGCCCTTGACCGTTTTTATAGATGACCTTAAAGGCTGATTTAACATCAATTTTATGGTTCATTTCGATTAGATGTTTAGCTATAGACGAAGTTGGTAGTCTGACATATGCATCTTTTAGTTTTTCACAATTCACTTGTGTTTCTAGCCATTTGGGAATATGGTCTCTCACCCTCACATGCAAAGCGCGATTACTCCTCCCTATGTATGAGGTTTGCAGTGGAGCGTACTTTTAGCTTTTTCCACAATTACAAGCTGGGCTGCATAGTAGGTTCTGCGGATGATCGAATTCAATCTTCGTCTCAAAATCCTACTTTTTATTCCCCGTTATATGGTAATTTGAGTCACAGCGTGAGATGGGTTTTAGGTCAAAAGTTTTAAGCATTAAAGCTGAGTTCAATTTTTAAAAAAAATACCTAAGATATAAATAATGTACCGAGACTATCAATGCTTACGGGATTTGATCTTTGCACTATCTCCAACACAGTTTTTAAACAGTAAATCATCTACTGTTAGGCTTTAAATTTGAAATGTACACTAAAAACATAAACTTTTCTATATGAACACTTTTTGTGCCGCACTTACAGCTTATCGATAGTTACTCATTATAAATGAACTGGTACGGCTGTGGGTGGGTGCACTCCGGTCATCATCTCGAAATGCTTTCATGTAGAGACGCGCACATAGACTCTCCCAAGTAAGTTTCATTCAGTATCTTCATGCGGCGGGATGTTCTCACAAAAGTAAAGGGGCAAATGTGAATGTTCAACATATACCGCCGCCGGAATGGTGGACATGGAAGTCCACTCAAGGGGACTGGAAAACAATAACTGCAAACCTATGATGCACATGGAATACAGAATAATCGAATAACGTACAAAACTATCTCGGTCACCAGAAACCACGAGAACGCAGCTGGTGACGTTTTCCTAATGGATTTTGGACCACTCTTAAAATGAAAAACTCGGGATCTTTGGAGATAACGAACTGACGCGGTCTGGGTACCTGGACAATACCTCAGCCCTCTCACAAATCAGTGACCAACAACCAGTGGAAAATTCTACTCGCACCCATACTACAAAAATTGCTTTATCAATCACATATTCAACAACTTGACCCTTTATACATACATATATATATACTTTATTTTCATCGCCTTTACATTTTAAGGTGCCGTTCTCTGTCGTTTGAAATCCCAGTCTACCTTTACCATTTCAACTTGCTGGTTAGCCGACTTCAAAAGTTGGCCATCAGTATGAACTTAGCACGACTATTTTGAAACTGCACTCAAACTTGCCACTCATGAAGTCTGCACATAACTGCACACCGGATAACAGGCAGATATGGCTAGAGCCCTAAAAAGCCTCCTTATCTATATATGCTGTATCACAAACCGGCATTAAAAATCAGCGACGTGCTCCCAATATTTTCGACATCTGGGACACTCATTGGGCTGTACCATATGCTCCTGCAGGTGGACCCTGTGGTATCGGCAAGCCACTTACCTGATGAGTATCCCCCTAGGCACCACAGCCGAAGTCACATTACTCCACCGGGTCCCCATTAAAGTTCGTTTATGTGCCGAAGTTACGTTATAATAGAGTAATAAGTGTTACCTTTTCGTTAACTCTGACTATGCATCGACATACTGTGGTCCAGATGCAATCACGGATGTTTTAGCATTAAATAAGTGACCTTCTCAAGCAAAGGTGTCAGAGAGGTCATTAGATCACCCAGCGAAGATGCGACTATACTGCGTCACATTCTTGCTCAGATTTTCAACTAAGTAACCCAAACTGTCCTCTTTCGGGTCATTCAAGAGACTGCATAAGTGTGTCAGAAATCAGACAATTCTTAGAAGTGGTAAGAAAATAAATTCAATAGCAATATTCACCTACTCCAGATCCATTTCCCACTAGGCACACTATCGTACTACGCACATAGTATATATATATATATATATATATATATATATATATATATCTGCAGTTTCTTCTGTTAGTTATCTTACATATCCATGGATAATGAATATGGCAAATACCAAACAGACAGTGGAAACTTCTGTGCCAACTAACAATTGATTGAAATGGACAGTTGTTTGGCACAGCTCCTATCATCTTATTATTAGCAGATGCAACGCATTCTAGGCAAAACTTGAGGAGACATAACCAAACGGACTGGTGCACTAATGATCCTGGGACGCTTGATCTGAGCAGGGTGGTGAAACCAGGTAAATAAAGCTACTTCCGGAAATTAGGCTTACTCTGCTTACTCTAAGTATACGTTGCAGTTGAATTCAGGTTAGGTTGAGGACAAATTGCGTTAAGTCAACATAATGTTAGCGTCAGAGTTTAGTAAGAGATAATAATTTGCACTTTCAGAACATTTTTAGGTTACTGATACATCCTTTTATCTGAGTATCTATCCCTTGACTTCACCGGAAAAAGTAGACTTGGGAATTTTAATGAGGGAAAGAAAATGTCGATAGGAAGAATTTCCCATCCCCACAGTATTCTCTTAGTTACCCTCCTCATTTCATCGCTCTGAAATAAAAAATTTTTGGTAGATTAATTTAATAGTTTACGAGAATATCACCATTTTCTCTAAAAATTCCTATTAAGACAATTGTCGGCTGAACATTAATGTGAACAAACAAGTACACACGTATGTGGGAATTCTAGTACTAAATCAATAGTGTTATCTTAACAAAAATAAAACCCACGCACACCACCAGCTTACTTGTGATACATTCTTCCTCGACAGAGTTGGAGTGACCAGTGACAACAGTAGACAAAACGCTTAACAACGAAGCACAGACACTGTAATTGCTATCCAAAATATACAGGTCAAATAGTTCAAGCAACGTATTAACAGCATTCATACTAATAAGCAATTGACGGACACTTGGCTGAGAACTGCAGGTTGATTGTAAATTCTCTATAGTATCCAGCAACTGACGACAATCGGGAGGATTCTCCTTGAAACTTTCTAGCGTTTTAAGAGCTAAGACAACTGGATGTCCATTCTCATATTTTATCATATCTTTGACAATTTCAGAAAGATCCACGCCCTATATATATTTGGTACATTTAGTTACTCCCACTGGTATGTCAAAACAGACCTCCATTTTGAATGTCTGAACGGACTCTTCTATTGCGTCGTCGACCGACATGTCGAACAACTCCATATTAGACCTTACAGTCTCATCAAAATAACTTTGCGAAATTTTTTTCATTGTAAGCACCCACGGTTGAATTCCCGCAAAAAACTTTGGAAACCGATGATGCACCTTTTAAGTAGAAAAATTTCCAACAGCTTGTGGAATCACAGCAGTAATTTTGCTCGAAATATTACAAAATAACAACTGAAATATACTCAAAATTCAGTTTCAGTTTTCCGGCCAGTATTAAGGTCACATTTTTATTTTATTTATTTTTTTATTTTTGATTACAGCTTGATTCCACATCGTATTTTTGGTACAAGTATGGAATTTTCAGCATGGATATCGGTAGCCCAAATTTCGCAGGCCGACTATAGATATCAGGTGTGCGTCGGCGTGGGCCCGAACCCCGGACCATGTGCATGGTTGGCGAGAGTCCTAACCACTGTGCCACCGACGCACCCTTGTATGCCATCCAATATCTAATATCATTTTTACGAGCTAGTATAAACCAATTGGATTTCTTTGTGTTCGCTTCTTGATTGTTAGGTATAGGTTCCTGATCTTCGGTAAACTTCTGCGTAGCTTGTCCCGCCACTCGACTGTCGTAGCTTTGGTTGACTCCAAAGGGAGTAGTGCTGGGATTAATTATATGTGGTCTGTAGTATGATTGGAGTTGATCCTTTCGCCAGTTAGTGTTCCGGCATCGTCGACAAGAGAAAAGAGATAGTAATAACAATAATAGATATAATTAGTGAATTTATTCAGACTAAGAGATAGAAACGGAAATAGGAAAGCGTAACAAGAGTAAGTTGATTAAGTTTGAAGAACAATATATATATATATCGGTGATAATAATAATAATAGTAATAATAACTATAATACTAATAATTTGTCAGGAGAGTAAGACGGGAGAGAATGTAAAGAAGTAAAACGACGAGTTTAAATTGTCTACCCCTGAATGGGGTATGCGATTTTAAGGAGATAGGCCATTTGGATGCAGTCCTTGTGTCGCTGCATGGTTGTCCAGCCTTCGCTTAAAGGCGTCCAAAGATGGTGCCATAGCTACATCTGCCGGTAAGGAATTCCAGGGACGGCAAACCCGCAGTGAAAAGAAGTGAGAGTGCACCCGGGTCCTTGCCCTCTGGTGAGCTATCCTTCTGGGATTTCCACGTGGGAGCCTATACCTACTCAATGGCAGAACACCTTTGTTTGGGTGATTCTGGTCATTTGTTATTTTGTAGGCAGCAATCAAATCCCCCCTAAGCCGACAGTAACTAAGTGTGAACAGGCTTAATTTCTTCAGCCTTTCATCATATGGTTTGTTTCGGAGACCAACCACTCCTTTTGTTGCCCGTCGTTGGACTCTTTCCAAGAGGTAGGCGTCTCTTCTCAGCTTTGGGGGTGCAATAATATTATGCACTTCAAGGTGTGGCCTGACGTATGTTTTGTACAACCTTAGAAAGAGCTCAGGAGTGAGTGCACCTAACTGTCTATGCGTAAAGTGTATGACCGCATATGCCCTCACTACATCCCCTGTGTAATTTACGCTTGTGTCCATTTTTTCCGTTAGAACTAGACCTAAGTCGCGTTCCGACGTTGTGCAGGACAAGTTTTCATTGCACTGGGTGTAACTTGCATTCTGCAGTCTACAGGTGCGCAACTTCACTACTTTGCACTTTTTCAAGTTGAAAGTCATGCCACTGGACACCGCCCAGTCTTCCAGAAGGTTTAGATCTTCCTGCAGCCTATCTGAGTCCTCTGGACACTTTATCGCCCCCATACTTTTACGTCGTCAGCGTATAGGAGAGTCGGGCAGCTTAGACGGCGTGGTAGATCATTGATGAAAATCAAAAACATCAGTGGTCCTAGGATAGAACCCTGCGACACTCCTGATGACGATCTGTGCCAAGATGATCGGACTCGGTTAACCTTAGTGCGAAATTGCCTGTCGGCTAGGTAGTCCTTCAACCAAGACAGAAGTGGCTCACCTATGCCTGCCTGACCTATTTTATGTAGGAGAAGGTCATGGTGAACAGTGTCAAATGCCTTCTCAAAGTTTAGGAAGACCACATGGACTGGTACATTCATATCCCAGCATGATGTCCAGTCGTCCCAAGCTGACAGTAGGTTAGTGACGCAGGATCTGCCTTTTCTGAAACAACGTTGGGCTTCCTGTAGTATATTAGTGCTATCGAAGTATTCCCTGATGTGGTCGTCAATAATGCTTTCCAGTACTTTTGATACCACTGGGAGTAGAGCTACTGGTCTATAGCTAGTAGCGTTTTGCCTGCTCCCATTTTCGCAGATTGAAGAAAGGATGGCTCTTTTCCACTCCCTTGGCAGTGTCCCCGAATCTATTGAGTGTTGGAACAAGTCGCACAGGGGTCTACAGAGAGCTTCGGCGCACTGTTTCAGAAGAGATGGCCTGATGTAGTCACAACCTGGGGACTTCCCAGGTGTGAGTCGCTGTAGCTTCCCTAGTACTATTGCGGGGTTGATTTGAGGAGTAGCCGCTAGGTCTTCCTCCTTTGAAATAGTGGTGCCACCATTTCGGTCTGTAACTGTAATATCTACATTGCTGTTTAGCTGTTTGCTATGTCAGAGTGCCTGTTGTTTTTGCTTTATTAACCTCTTCTCCCTCCAGCCATCAAACATAACTTTCCAAACAAACAACTAACTTGGCCTTGGATATCTTTGTTGTCAAATCATAATTTCACTTGTTCATTTCTCTGCGTTTCTCACTTACAGTTCACACAGTTCAGTAGCTAGTCTCATCTATGTCGAGCATTCTGTTTTTGAGTGTGTTTTTGAACGCCACTACTCTGAACTCACTTCTCTGAAATGGCTTCATGGTCGTGAGGTCTGTGACATATGTTGCCTCCCTGTGTGGCCCGCCCTGGTACTCCTCTTAAGTAGTAGACCTCAAACGAAATAGTTATGTGGGAGGTCGGTGACCTTCTGGTCGACTATGAGAATGATCAAGAGAATATGGCGATAAGGTGAAAAGCAGAGGGAAATAAGAAGAAATATTGATTGCCACGATCTTATGAGGGTCGAGGTTGTTTGACAATTTTTGATACATTGCAACAAATTATGGTTGAATCACTTTGGTCTAAATGACGGAAAGCTTTAGGGGTGGTAGATTCCGGAAGAAAATAAACAGGAACGTAATGAAAGTTCTATCCTGTTGTCAGCAGCGTCACATAAACCGTTAATGCCCAGCTCTTGCTACGCTCGGGCTCACGCTGTTCCTTGAAGTTTTCAGAAACGCTTAGTAATAACGGACGCAAAACCAAAACACCGATTGGTCGCTTGGGAATTCTTTATTGTTACACCAACATATAAAAATAATGGTTTTACTAGGGTCTGTGAACAAATATTACAATAATGAATCACAATATTACTTCTGATGGGTTACTGCTGACTTCTTTCTGAACAGCGACCGATGAGACGATGACTGTCGTATTGACGCCTCCGCGAAAATTGGGGAAGTTGATTTTGAGCAAACAACCATGAATTGATCGTTCAATCTTCAACTCCATTGACACTACCCGGCAAAAAAGGGATCCAACCCTTTTTTCCTTCACGACCAATGCACGTTGACTTGGATGCCATTGCGAGAACCTGGGTCACACGGACAGAGCTGAAATGGAAAACAAACAGAAAAGCCAACACACCACAAGCATACTCACAGCACAATCTCACACATCAATGACGACCTGCGCCTCCAGACAGAGACCTCCTCTTGACATCTTGCAACACAATCGCCACTTGCTAGAATGACTCTTGCAGAATGCAACGTGACCATAGCACCACCTCATGATACTCTACGCACATCCTCTTACCTACTCACTACCAATTACCACTGAAATCGCTTGTCACTCATTCTGCCTCAGTTCTAGTAGCGGTGACGCATGCGAGCCTCAGTCGTTTACACTCTTTCTCCCCGGCGTGTCGGACCGCAGCTAACAATTATCTCCGTGTGCGTTTCATTCTCAGCAATAGCCTCCCCGGCGTATACGACCCATCTGCTGTCCTTAACATCAATCAATTCATTCACGGATGTAGAAGACTAAAAACAACTTCAGAAGTAATCACGACGAAAATTTTAACAAAATTATGCAATAACAACAAGGTACGAAAACAACGAGTAAACACAATGAATTCAAATAACACCAATTGATATGACACACCACACGTATACACAAACAGTACAAATAACCTCGCGGATCATGTCTTGGTGGAATTATTTTGAAGAATTGGAGGACTTACACCAGTACGCCTGCAACCCTTCACAGGTTGACGATTGTAAGTTGTGGAATGTCCAGACACAAACAAGATTAACCAACAATTACAATAATTGGAACTCACACAACTATTTAACACAAACATATGTACAATCAACACATCAAATGTTGTGGATTCTGCCTTGATGAACTAACCTTGAAGAACTGTAGGACTTACAGCAGTACGCCTACATTCCTTCTCAGGTTGATGATCCAAGTGGAAGTCGTCCGGACACAAACAGAATTACCAACAGCTAGATGACAGATGATATCAATTCAGTATATACAATATGAACATATGTACAAGATCATACACCAAGCACATTGGACTGCTCATTGATGCGCTACCCTTTGAAGAATTGTAGGACTTACAGCAGTACGCCTATAACCCTTCTCAGGTTGACGCTCTAGGTTGGAAAATCGTCGCATAGTTCATTTGCTAACTTCCTTCTATCAGCTATATCCTCAAATCTGAACGGCAACACGCCCATGTCATTGTATCGTAGAATATAGATGACCAGCGAACACACGACATATCTCATCAACCAAGTGTAGAAACAGAGTAATTTACACCAAGGATAATAACATTCAAATAGTAACTTGAAACTAGAAATGCCTTTATTCATGCAAGTCAATTTAACAATTACCCTCTCGTAAACACTTGGCTTATCCTCACTA